ATGATGGGTGATGGGATGGGTGAAGGATGATGGGTGATGGGTGCTGGGATGGGTGAAGGATGATGGGTGATGGGTGTTGGGATGGGTGAAGGCTGGCTGGGTGCCACCCCTCCCACACCACTGACACTGCCCTCTGTTGCAGCCCTCAGCCGGTGCCCATGGCCGAGTACTTCGTGCCGCCGGCCCCGCCACCCCCACCGCCCGTCATCCCCTCGGCACAGACGGCCTTCGACAGCCCCATCTCGGCCCCCCCAGTGCTGGCCCCCGGCTCGGCCGGGCCCCCCTCCTACGCCCCCTCTCCGCCCCCCGCGCCCCCCGGCCCCTACTCCGCGTCCCCACCTCAGGCTGGCCCCATGGGCCCCCCCGTGGCTCCCCCCCCGCCGCCCCCGGGCCCCCCGGCGGTCTCGGCCTCGCCGGCGCACTCGGCCTCACCGCCCGCCCCTGCTGTGGAGCCCCGCAAGCCGCAGATCCCACTGATGCCCATGAGCGACGCCCGGAGCGACCTGCTGGCAGCCATCCGCAGGGGTGAGGGGGCAGGGGAAGGTGGGGGCGGTGGGAGGGCAGGGGCAGGTCCCTGGCACTGTCACCGCGAGGGCAAAACGGCTCTTGGCATAGAGCTGGGGAAGCGTCAGCTTCGCTGAGGGCAGGATGAGCCCCCGGGTGGAATGGTGGGCGGTGAAGGTGGTGACACCGAGGTGGGACCTGAGGGGGGAACGAAGTGCAGTGCAGGGCGTTGGAGGGAGGCTGGGGAGTCATCGCCAGAGGTGGAATGAAGCCCCACAGATCACTGGATTCTTTTCAGGATGCAGAGGTCTATCCCATTTCCCCTTCCTGCAAATCTTCAGGTCGAGTGGTAAATACTCCAGAAGGTTCAGCATCTTCAGGGTGAATGGAAGCAGAGAAGGAGCTTTATTCTGTGATAGAGCTTTATAACCACACACATTGCATTATTCACAGAATCACAGAATGGTTTGGGTTGGAAGGGACCTTAAAGATCATTTCATTCCTGCCACAGGCAGGGACACCTTCCACTAGCCCAGGTTGCTCCAAACCCTGTCCAACCTGGCCTGGGGCACTTCCAGACATGGGGCAGCCACAGCTTCTCTGGGCAGCCTGTGCCAGGGCCTGCCCACCCTCACAGGGAAGGATTTCTTCCCAATATCCCATCTAAACCTACTCTCCTTCAGTTTAAAGCCATTCCCCCTTGTCCTACCAATCCTACAATCTCACATACCTTTGTAATCACCCACACCCTCCTGCACAGGGCTGCAGCCCTCTCATTCCAGCCAACACTTCATAACGGGGGGATGCTGCACATGGGCTGTGCCCTACTAAAACCCTCCCCCCTTTCCTACTGCAGGGATCCAACTCCGGAAAGTCCAGGAGCAGTGGGAACAAGAGGCCAAGAAAGAGCCCGTGGGCAATGACGTGGCGACGATCCTGTCGCGGCGGATCGCGGTGGAGTACAGCGAGTCCGATGACGACTCGGAGCTGGACGAGAACGAGTGGTCAGACTGAGGGGCCCGGGGTCGGGCTGGGCTGGGCTGGGCCGGGCTGGGCTGGGCTGGAGGAACCCCCAGCTCTGCCCCAGGTGTGTGTAGGCGCCTCCCCCACCGTCGATGCCGGCGAGCGCGGGCGGCCCCGCTCGTCCAGGAGCTTTGCTTTTACACTTTGTCCAAAACCCTGCGGGCAGCAGCAGCAGCAGCAGCACTGGTAGGATACACCTCGGAGGCAGTGAGACCAGACATTAGCAGCACCTTCGCGTTTAATGACTTCCCAAATTCCCTGGAGGCAGGTTAATAGGATTGCTCGTGGTTTACAGCTGGAGCAGGACCAGAGGCTGGCCCTGAGCGTGCTTTGGGAGAGCGGGGAGCCCCAGGGGCGGCAGTGCTATTCCAGCTAGACTGTAATTGTGGGAACCAGAAGCTCCTGCAGAAGAAGCCTGTTTGCACAGCTGGTGCCACCATGGGAGCTCAGGGAATGGCCCTACATGGGCTTGGGGACCCTCTGGTGTCGGAGTTTTTGGGGTCAGGCAGCTCCAAAGGCTGCCCACGAGCAGGAACCTCCTTCCCCTGAGACTGATGCACCGTGTTTGGCAGCAGCTCTGTAGGGATGGTCCCCATCATTCTGTCACCTGGAGAACCACAGAATGGTTGGGTTTGGAAGAGACCTTTAAAGCCCACTGAGTCCAATCCCTTGCAATGATCTGGGACCCCTCCCACTAGACCAGGTTGCATGAGAAGACCAAGGTGCTGGTGACCTGAGCCCGTTTCTGTCCTTAGAACTGGTTTTCTAGGAGAAAAGGGTGAAGGCAAGGCTTGTGTGGCTGGCAGGGACACACAGCCTTGTCTTTGCCAGTGAAGGATTAAGGTGTCCAGGGAGCTTCCCCGGACCCAGCTCTCCTTGGCCTTAATGTGACACCATTTCAGTGTTCTTTGAAAAGGAAAAAGAAGTTAATTAGACAATCTGCTGCTTTTAGATAAACTCTTAACTTGCCCTTTGCAGCCCCACGTGCTGTGCCTGTACAACTAAGACCAACTCAGAACCAGGCACTGGTTCCCCCTCCCTGATCCTGCCCCATTCCCTATCCCACAGGTGCTGATGGGGGAGCTGGAGAGCCAGGCCCCTGCCACAGCACTGAAAATACCTGTTCTCACATCAAAATAGGGAGTGATTCATCCAAGACTTTCCTCCTCCCTTCACAGAGGGAGGAGGCACAGGAAGGCAGAGAGAAGGGGTGGGAAATGCTGAAAATATCACAGTCAGGTGTAAAAACCTGCAGAGAGCTGGGAGACATTCCCCCACCAGTGGAAAATGGACCAGGACCAGCCGTGGACTTGCCAGAATGGTCTCCAGGCCCTCTCTTGTGTTCCCTTACACCACGAGGCCCTGAATGGGGGAAAACTGAGGCCCCATGTTGCAGCTCCTCTGGGGAAAGCCTGGGCTCTGTGCCTGCCTCTCTGCCTCTCCCAGCAGCCATGTAGGTGATGGCTACAGCAGGAGGATTTTGACTCTCCAGAAGCAACCAGAGCTGTAAAGGAGATGGGAGGATATGGCTGGGACCCAAAGGCTCCTCCTTAAGTTCATAGAATCCTGGAGTGGTTTGGGTTGGAAGGGACCTTACATCTCATCTCATCCCAATCCCGTGCCATGGGCAGGGACATTTTCCACCAGACCAGGTTGCTGGTTCCTCACCCTGAGAAACGCTGGTGTTGAACAACACCCCAAACATCTGCTCATTCCTCTCAGGTGAGAAACCTTTCATGGCCAGACGTGGCGAAACCCCTGCCCAGCTGCTGAGAAATGCCCCCAGGAGCGCTCCCTTCTCCTGGCTGGCACAAAATGGTCTCTTGTCCCTTGGGAGTGACACCTCCCACATCTCCACACCTGGGCTGGGAGCTGTGGACCGAGTGGGCTTGAGCAGAGGGGCAGTGTGGATGTGGGAGAGGGCAAGGCAAGAAGCAGAAGTGCAATAGGATGCATGGAATGGCTCATCTACAAACCCCAGGGAAAGCAGGACTGACCGAAGGAGGCAGGGAGTCACAGTGCACCAGGAGGTCGGGAAATTCCTGGCGCTTGGTGCTCAGCAAGAGCTCTCGTTTCTGATGTAGATCCTCTGAATCACAGGGAACTGGATGCAAAAGCTTTTGGCCAAAGCCTGGCCAAGGCAGAGAGCCCTTGTGATGCCTGTGATGGGCCTTCCTTGGGAAAGTAGCTGGGATTTGACCTGGAACAGGTTCAGAAGGAAGTGTTGGAAAAATTGAGAGCAACATTTAAGCAGGTTCCTGGTGGTATTTATTGTGGAGCGTTATTAACCTAGACACAATCGTAATCCTGTTTGTGTGTGAAGAGAAAGTGATTTATTTGGATAATTTAGAAAAAGTAATAACCCTTTATGAGGGAGAGAGAACAGCAGGGGCTGGTGGAGCTGCTCTTACCTGTTATGGGGGTCGAAGGGCTGCAGAGTCAGTGGGGGGCACCCACTGGGGTGCTCTCAGGCAGAGCAGAGTCCCACCAGCCCTGGGAAAGGGCTCAGGGGCACGTGGGACTGGCTTGTCCCTTGGATCTGTGACTGGCCCAATTCTGCAAAGCTGAGCCAGTCCTGGTGAGAACTGGAGAGCAGCCGAGTGCCCTGGAAGATCAAGCCCCTTCTTTTCATGCACCAGTTGCTTTGTGTGTGTCACGTGGATCTGTGGTCATTCTGGCAGGACTCTGTTGGTCTGTGGCACGTCAGGATTGTCCCTGTATCCTCCCACTGCCCTGTCACCTCCTTGTAGCTGTGCTGCCCTTGGGATTGGCAGCTGTCAGTCAGCCCATGCCAGCCTCAGGGTCGATGCTGTTCCATGGCAAAGCGCTGGACAATCGGAATGGCTGGGGTTGGAAGGGACCTGGAAACGGCAGCTGGTTCCCTCAAGCCTTGCCTGCCCTGTGCACAGGCCGTGTCTGCAGGGCAGGTGTGCAGCTGGGAGCCTCAGGAGTGCCCACAGTTCCTCACACCTTCATGTTCCTACGCCATCCTCTCCCCTTTGGACGTCCCAGCACATCCTCACCCTTCCTGTTCTCCTTATAACCTCCACCCCTTGATAGCACAAACACAGTTCACCTGCTCAGGTCCAAAGCAAGTCAGCAGGACCATAAACTCCCAGCACTGCCCATTGCTTGAAAACATGGTGATCCTCCTCCTGCAGGGATCTGAACTGCCTTAAGCTGTGCTGGTAGCAGGGATGGGGCTGATCCCCCCCCTCCTCATCCCAGTTGCTCAGCTCTCTGGTGTGGCTGGTGGAGAGCTGACCTGTGTAGTCAGGGTGGGCTGCAGAACCCATTTCTGTCCTGGTCACAGTGATGCTCTTCCCAGCTCTCCCACCAGCACCACAAGGCAGGCAAGCACCCAGAATTTCTGAGGTTGGAAAAGACCTCTCAGGTCATCAAGCCAGGCCGTGAATGCCACGTGGTGGCACTGAGAGCCCCGATCTCACAGCACAGCCGTTCCATCCTCAGCACCCCCACCCCACATTTCGGCCCTGCTTGAGCATGGCCACCTTTATTTTAGGCACATTCATCTGCTTTCTGCCCAGGTGACCTGTGAAACCCACCAGAAGTGACACCAGTTCCTGGTTGGGCCAGGCTGGCACTGCTGGAGTGGGTTGTGCCCCTCTCATCAGCAGTGTCTGCCTGACCCACGTGCTGCACACTCCATATTTGGTACATATGTGCCTCTCCCCGTATCTTCTTCCCAAAGTAGGCCATGCCGTGTTACACAACCTGAAATGCTCAAATCCTCATGTGGGCTGATATAAAAGTGAATATTTAAATATTTTATCTAGCTTGGCAGACATTAAAAAATACAATCCAGGTCACAGATGATTGAATTTCTCCCCTCTCAAGAGTACCAGAATTGGGCTGAGGAGATTCTCCTGTACATTAAGGTATCGTGTTCCCTGTTAAAATATAGCAGTGCCATTTCATTGCCAACGGATAATCACGGAGTGCCAAACATTTAATGAGCCCAACTGATCTCCTGAGAGCTCCTCTTTCCATTTTATCTGCTTTCCCCGACTTGCCAATTTATGGGCATAGATTAAAAATAATAAATATGACTGCCAACAGGGGGGGGAAACACCCTGAGTGCATACAGATGGATTGGGCTGCAGTCAGTGGAACAGTAAATAAGCCAGTTTGGTTCTGTTTGGACATATTAATGGAAGGCTGTGGTTCTTGAGCTCCATCAGGAACCTCTTGGATGTCTCTGGTTCACCTAAAAAGGGGCACTGTGGGCACCACCATGTCCACGGTACGTCTGTGAACCTACACCAGGTGTGAAGTCTGGTCTTGATCAAGTGTCTGAAAGTTGGTGGAAGTCCAGTAGTGTTCATGCCTGGCCTTGCACTCGGTGTGTCCTGGGATCAGAGGGACCATAGGAGCTGGCTCTTGATGCTGGGTAGGGGTGTCCTGAAGGAAGAATGGATTGGGTAGTTTCTAACTTTGCACCCTGGGAAGAAACCTAGAGAGGAGTGAGCATCACGCCCCATGAGAGCTCCTGCTTTTGCAGATGTTCTGTCTGGGGAAGGTTTTACTCCTGGGACAAACACGAGGCTGAACTTGGCTTCTCCAGAGAGCTCCCTCAAATTTCCTCCCAGCAACTTTTTCATCCCTGTTTCCCTTTCAAGACACCCAACAGCCTGAACAGAAGCTTTGCAGACTCCCCTGGGGGCAGAGCCTGAATTTACACCTCAGCTTTAATAACAGATGGAAGTTTTGCTTGGAGGGAGGCAGGTTGGAGCACTGGAGGTGGTGTTTTGGAGGGTGCCTTCCAGAGGTCCGTGGCAGGAACACAGTGCCATTTCCTGGTGGATGGACCGTGTGTGGCCACGGGAAGCACTCCCTGTCATGGGATGCTGGCAAGGGGAGTACAGGCTGTTCCTTTCCCTAAGATTCCTGTTTTCCTGTAGTTGTAGTAGTTATTTAAGGGTAAGGTTTTCTCAGCTGGAATGTCACTTTACAGATAAAAAAACCCCCAAAACCATAAGGGTAAGGAGTCTGTCCTGAGGAGTTTACAGTCTACAGCAAAGACCACATAACCTGCACTGCACTTTAGAAGCCTCAAATGCTCACTCACCCATGAGTTTACCCTCCACTGGGCAGCAGCACCTCGAGGACTGTTGTCCCTTCCTTAGGTGAGCAGCCCCACGACCACATCCCCCTGCTGATGTCACAGTGGGGCTCTCCCACCCCTCCACTGCCCCCCTGCAAAAGTGCCTGAGCCAAGCCATGCTGGGTTTGTCCCTGTGCCCTCAGGGTGGGCCTTTCCCGGTCCCCACACAGCTCTGCTCTCTGGGATGGCCATGGATGTGATGGGAAACGTGCCTGGATGCTCCTGTGCCTGCCAGCTCTCAGGGCTGCCCATCAGTTCACGTGGGGGCCTCTGAGCTCGTGCAGAACGTCCTCCTTCAGACACTTGGAACCCAAACCTAGACTTTGACATATTTTAATCTGTTTGAGAGTCAAAGGAGGGAGGGGGTAGGGGGGGTGAATCTGGCCTTCCTTGGGCAAACTCCAGGTTTTCTAGGATTGTTGTCTCAGGCTGTGCTTTCTCCAGGTAAAACTTGAGCATGGATTTTGCTGGGGAACAGAATGAAAAAAAAAAAACCAAACCAAACTCCCAGTCATGAACTGCAGCGAGATTTGCCCCAGAGCCTTCAGAAGGTGCCCACGGGCAGGGTGGGGGCAGGACATCAGGATGTTCCTGAGGGAGGACACTATCCTGGTGCTGTCACTAGGCTGAGGCAGAGCCCGCAGCAAGGGATGGGCTCTGGGTGAGGGAAATCCCCAGGCAGGATCTGGCTGGAACATGCCTGGCCACAGAGTCCCCAGAGGCAGTGCTGATGTGACTTTATCCATGTGAACATCTGGATTACAGCCTGGCAGG